TATATATGATGGATCAGATCCTCAGATCCTGAACAACTGATGGCGAGCTAAAAAAGGACAAGACCCCTAGGACTCTCGAATTGGTTTATTTGTGTATTTGTAATTGTTTTGTTTGTTTTTTGTTGTTTTTTTCCTGCCCCTTATTTTTTCCCTGTTTAGAAGGAAAAACAATAATACACTTGAACGAAACACCAACTAAAACAGTTTCCTTGTGTTTTCATTCACACCTCAGGCTCCTTAACGAACTGTTTTCCATAACTGTTACACAGACATCAACCGGGATATCACTCAAAGGCAGTTCTCATATTCGTCCAGCAGATGTCGCCCTTTAAAACAGTATAAAATGCATCAATCATTGAGGTATGGCCAGTTTGAGAGTTTTATTGGTTCATGGGGCTTTGAAATTGCCATAACTACTAGAATCCTCTTTCAAAGCTTGTTGTTTTGGACCAGAATGCAAACAGATGCTGAGACACAGCAAGATGAGTTGATGAAATTTATAAAGGAAAAACAAAGAAACAGCACATTAACAGAGACAGGAGATGAGCTGAGGATTTAGTGACTAGTAGCTGCAGACAAAGGGGAAAAGCAGGTAATTGGAGGCTGCTACTAAGAAGCTCCTGCAGAGGGAGAAATGTTAAATAATGAAAAACTAATGGGATAAACTAAGAGAAGCTATCTAAAAACATAAATAATCACTAGCAATAAAAGAAATATAGCAAGAATAATTAGTATAGTTTGCATTTCTTGCAAATGCAGAACTTAAAATATTACTGACACCATAAGATTAAAAAGCAGATATTAAACAAAATGCAAAACTGTATTTAATATGGCATAGACCAGTAAGTGCATTAGTGGGATTTGATAAAGAATGATTGTTTCTGCACCTCCCAGGTGCTGCACAATGGCAGCCCACAGGGGATGGGTTAAATGCAGAGAGTTCATTTCATTGCTCTGTACTTGTGACACTGTAATGACGATAATAAAAAACAAAGCTGGGAAAAAAAAGGACAAAGCAGTAA